ATTGAACAAGCTGAAGTTAGAAGCTGATTGGCTACCATGCAAAGCTACACCAGATTCTGAGTGCATGAGTTTTAGTAAATCCCCCCATGTGCATTTTTTTTTCTTTTACTGAGGATACTGCATGAAGCCGCTGAACTTTTTGCAGATTCAGACTCAACACTTCAGACCTTCAGACTCATTAGTGCAAAGTATAATGATGACTTGAGCTTAATCTCAAACTGTTGGGGGACACAAGAAGTCTTCTGAAGACCTTCCTGACCAGAAAAAGTGTTCTTTTCCAATATACAAAAGCATCCCATAATTGAAGATTTAACGTTTTTTAAACATTCAACTAATTTACTATGCCACACAGACAAAAATCTAAAGACCTATATTTTTTGTGTCAACAGGTCTATTGGCTTTATCTCAAACTGTTGGGGGACACAGAAGTCTTCCTGGAAGACTCCTGAACACCAGAAAAAGTGTTCTTTCCAATACTTGTTGGTTTCGCATGAAGCACTGCAAGTCTTTTGTTAGTCTGTTTTCACCCAATAGATACCAGCCAACTTTAGACTTTCCTAAAGAGGGACAGCCTGGAGATGGGATAATGCTACATGTGCATCATTGCCGTGGTGAAAAATTGGTATGGTTACATAACAAAGAATATCGGCACTAGTTTAAATGGGTGCTGTTAAACAGAGTCTTAGTCTATGCACAGTATACACTGCACACATTTTCCACAGTCCTTGTACTCATACCTGGCTACGTAGGTACTAGCTATTGTTATAACAACAGGGGTGCGAACTGCCATTCCATTCCTGGACTGACCATTTGGAAACTCGGGCACTGCCTGAGGACCCGGGGTCAATAGGGGTTCCCCATGAGATGCCCCTGGTACCTTTTTCATAGGCTTTTTTGAGTATGGGCAAGGACACATGGGCCCCATGATCCCCTATTGCCCGGGGGCCCCATGAGTTGTCAGTCCGCCCCTGTATAACAACAAACATTTCAGCCACGAGTAGGGGTGAACGTGGGATCAGTCCAAACAGGGTTTGGTCTGCAACCAGAAATCAGCTGTCAATGTTGGGCCAATGATCTAGGGATGGGGATTCCCAGCCCTACAGCTGCACTTACACAAATGGGCAGGGATGTTGATGATATAATTGACCTAACATGGCAACATGGCCATATTAAGTCAATGAATCCACAATGATTCCATAGCTCATTGCCCGGGACTAACAGCTGTGTGTTTGAACCAAACTCAGATCAGACTGAACCCAAGTGCATCCTGGTCAGGAGTATATAACATACAGCACAGAGATTTTAGTAAAGATTATGCAACACTGCCACTTACATTATCGGGCAATGGAGAAGAAAAAATACCCAGATGTGGGTGACCAGTGGGAGATAAAAATAATGTCCCACTGTTAGTGGTCAGTGGGTGAAAAAAATGCCCAATGTCATTGGTCAGTAGAAGAAAAAATGAAATGCCTTACTAATGGTTTTCAGTGGGAGAAAAATGTCTGGCATTATTTGAGAGTGGGAGAAAAAATTACCTATTTCATTGGTCAGTTGGAAAAAAAATTCCCTGCATCATCAGTGAGAAAAAATGCCCTACATCATTGGTTAAAATTGCCTGGCATTTTTGGTCATTGGGAAGAAAAAATGTCCTGGAATCAGTAGGAAGAAAATGCCTGGCATTATTGGTCAGTGGGAGGAAACAAATATGGCTTCATTAGTCAGTGGGAAAAAGTATGCTGTATCTCTGGTCAGTGGGAGAAAAATACCCGGCATTATTGGTCAGTGGGAGGAAAAAAAACGTCCCAGCGTTTGTGAAGGTCTGCCTTAAAGTCAGTGGCTAGTTGCTTCCCCTAACATTCAGACTTTAGATCAACACCCTTTAATCTAAAGTTCAGAAGTAAACTGAATTTCAACTCCCCCCCCCCAATCAATACTTCAGACCTCAGATCAATCTCCTTTAAGATACTTTTCAGACCACCAGTCAGCCCTGTTTCAAACCTCAGATCAGCCCCCCTCTACCCTTTACAGACCAGAGCAGCACCTCAAAGCAAAGGAAGTTTTTCCCAGACTTCCCTTGTGTCTGAGTCGTGTGATGTTATCATCACATAACCAGAAAAAGGAAGTGGGGATAGGTCTTGCCAACTCTGCTGTACTAGTGAGGAACAGATATCACATTCAAGCATTCTGGCACACAGTGCTAGGACATGGGGTGGGCTTGCAGGACCCAAAGATTTGAAATTCCATGAAAGTCATGTGAAAACTGGGAAATTTAGACTTCAGATCAAGCCCCTTTAATCTGTATTTCAGACCCTTAATCGGCTCCCGTTCAGACTTCAGATTAGTGATCATTAAACTACTTTTCAGATACCCAGTCAGCAGCAGTTCAGAACTCAGATCAGTCTCATTTAATGATACGTTTCAAACACCCAATCAGCACTATTTCAAACCTCAGATAGCCCCCCTCCAACCTTTACAGTTCAGTGGAGCACCTCAAAGCAAAGAATCCCAGACTTTCATTGTGTATGTGTCATGTGATCATATAACCAGAAAATGGAATTAAGGATAGGTTTTCCCAACTCCTCTGTACTAGTGCCAAACAGACATTTGAGCATTCCAGCACCCAGCACTGGGACATGGGGTGGGTTCATGAGACCCTGGGATTTGTTTCAAATCCTAGAAAAGTCTTGCGGAAATTGGGGCGGCTAAGGGATATGCTGTTTTGCCTGACTGTTCACCTGTTTGCACAGCCTCTTTTTTCAGCCCTGTACAGAGCACTGTACAGCCTTTCTTCAGTCTGATTCTGTCTGCTCACAAATATTTATCAGACACTGGTCTGTACTTGCATCAATCTGATATCACTGTTGGCATGTGGTGAGTCTCCTGGACCATGGGATTTGGTTCAAATCACAGTACACTCTGGTTGGGAGGTATGTCTAACAGGACTTTTAAATAATTTATGAGGTTGTGATCCCTTCAATGATCTTAAATACTACCCACATTTATGATTTGACCAGTGCCACCTTCCTAAAAACCAGAGCATGAGCAGAGGTTCCCCAATTATCAGGGGTATCAATAACACAGATGTAAAATAAAGCTCCCTTTGTACTCTTACCCAGTCAGACAGAAAGTTAGGGGAGTAATGAGAGACACAATAGGAAGATCTGTAACAGTTAAAGGTTAAATGTTAGGTGTTAAAGTTAAGTTAAGGGTCAAGTTAAGCGTTAAAGTTGCAGCATTGTAAAGGTTCAGATTTTTTATTTTTAAAATAATAAACATATCAAATTTATCTGCTCTGTGCAATGGTTTTGCACAGAGCAGCCCAGATCCTCCTCTTCTCTGGTCCCCTGCCAGCGCTCCTGACCCCTTCCTCCAGAAGCAAGCTTCTATGAGACACAGAGAGTGCGGCCTGGCCCTGCGTCCCATTCCCTCCTCATTGGCTATGATTGACACCAGTGGGAGCCAATGGCTCCTGCTGCTGTGTCTCAGCCAATGAGGAGTGAGAGACTCGGGAGAGCTTCTGCTATCGTGCACATCACTGGATCGAAATAGGGCTTAAGTGAGTATGAGGTGGGGCTAAGCAGGGAACTGCACACTGAAGGTTTTTTACCTTCATGAATAAATGCATGAAAGTACAAAACCTTTAGCCTTTAGAACAGCGGTTCTCAACCTGGGGGTCGCGACCCCTTTGGGGGTCGAACGACCATTTCCCAGGGGTCGCCTAAGACCATCGGAAAACACACATATTTCCGATGGTCTTAGGAACGAGAGACACCGCTGCTGTCTCCGGCGATGTGTGGGCGGGATGATATGCTGCCCCTGTCACCGCCTCCTCGCCGCTGATTGGCCACCGGAACTGTAGCTCAGGAGAGGCACACAGGCGGCCAATCACCGGCGAGAAGGTGGAGCTTGGAGAGGAGGAGCCGAGCGGCAGCGCGCGGAGATCGAAGAAGATCGAGGGAGCTGCAGGAATGAGTGAAGAGAGAGGCCAGAGAAGGAAGACAGCTGACAAGTAAGTGCAAATTTTGCTGCTGCAGCCAGTATGCTGCCTGTAGATGGGAGAGGGAGAGAGCGAGCCCAGGCTGGAGCAGGGGTCAGCAAGGTAAGTATCATTGGTGTCAGTGGGAGGAATAGTGCCCCATCATTTGTGTCACTAATACCAATGATGGGGCACTATTCCTACCCCCACTGACACCAACGATGGGGCACTATTCCTGCCCTCACTGACACCAACGATGGGGCACTATTCCTCCCCCCACTGACACCAACGATGGGGCACTATTCCTCCCCCCACTGACACCAACGATGAGACAGTATTCCTCCCCTCACTGACACCAACGATGGGGCACTATTCCTCCCCCCACTGACACCAACGATGGGGCACTATTCCTCCCCCCACTGACACCAACGATGGGGCACTATTCCTCCCCCCACTGACACCAACGATGGGGCACTATTCCTCCCCCCACTGACACCAACGATGGGGCACTATTCCTCCCCCCACTGACACCAACGATGGGGCACTATTCCTCCCCCCACTGACACCAACGATGGGGCACTATTCCTCTCCCCACTGACACCAACGATGGGGCACTATTCCTCCCCCCACTGACACCAAAGATGAGGCACTATTCCTCCCCCCAGTGACACCAACGATGGGGCACTATTCCCCCCACTGACACCAACGATGGGGCACTATTCCTCCCCCCACTGACACCAACGATGGGGCACTATTCCTCCCCCCACTGACACCAACGATGGGGCACTATTCCTCCCACTAACGCCAATGATGGGGCACTATTCCTCCCACTGATACCAATGATGGGGGGCACTATTCCTCCCAATGATACCAATGATGACACCAATGATGGGGCACTATTCCTCCCACTCATACCAATGATGGGGCATTATTCCTCCCACTCATACCAATGATGGGGCACTATTCCTCCCACTCATACCAATGATGGGGCACTATTCCTCCCACTCATACCAATGATGGGGCACTATTCCTCCCACTGACACCAATGATGGGGCACTATTCCTCCCACTGATACCAATGATGGGGTACTATTCCTCCCACTCATACCAATGATGGGGCACTATTCCTCCCACTGATACCAATGATGGGGCACTATTCCCCCCACTGATACCAATGATGGGGCACTATTCCCCCCACTGACACCAATGATGGGACACTATTCCTCCCACTGACACCAATGATGGGACACTATTCCTCCCACTGACACCAATGATGGGACACTATTCCTCCCACTGACGCCAATGATGGGACACTATTCCTCCCACTGACGCCAATGATGGGGCACTATTCCTCCCACTGACGCCAATGATGAGGCACTATTCCTCCCACTGACGCCAATGATTGGGCACTATTCCTCCCACTGACGCCAATGATTGGTAACTATTCCTCCCACTGACACCAATGATGGAGCACTATTCCTCCCACTGACACCAATGATGGGGCACTATTCCTCCCACTGACACCAATGATGGGGCACTATTCCTCCCACTGACACCAAGATGGGACACTATTCCTCCCACTGACACCAATGATGGGGCACTATTCCTCCCACTGATACCAACGATGGGACACTATTCATCCCACTGACATCAGTGATGGGGCGCTAGTCCTCCCACTGCAAAATTACAGTTATGAAGTAGCAACGAAAATAATTTTATGGTTGGGGGTCACCACAACATGAGGAACTGTATTAAGGGGTCGCGGCATTAGAAAGGTTGAGAACCACTGCTTTAGAAGCACCTTAAGCTAAGGGTCAAAGGAATATTCTGCACTTACACACACATTTGTGTCAGGCTCTAACACTACTCAGTCCCACTCAGGAGGCACACAAATGTGAGCTGTTTATTTGTCACAATGCAGTTCTGTATTCACTCTGTTCATGCTGTTAGGCCCACAGTGAGCCTTGGTTCACACTGATGCGGTATGGAATTTGCTGCGTTTTCTGTGCTAATTCCTCACCGCATCAGAAACGCACCTCATTCATGCAAACTGCTGCGGGTGTGTATGTTAAGTTAACAACACACCAAAAACAGTCCGCAAAAACGCTGTGCGATGTGCAGAATTGGATTGCATAGGTGTAAATACCCATGCGATCTGATTCTAGTGCGGACCAAAAAAAGAGTCTTGCATCTTGGTGCAGTAGTAGGTGCAAGTGCGGTGTGATTAGAGCCATACAAAATGTATGGCTGTAATCGCACCACACACAAATCACATGTGATTTTACAGGAATGTGGTGCGGTTCCTGTGCAAATCACATGAGATAATATACCGCACCACATATATGTGAACCCTGGGCTAAAAGTAAGAGCTTGTTTACATTTAATATATATACTTATGCAGTTTAAGGAGGTTTTTTTGAACCTGTATCCAGCCTCAGACACCCACTGAAGGTCTACCTTAACCAATATTTCTACCTTATTTAAACAGCAAGTTTCTCTTCAGCAAACCTGTCAATATGAGATAGATGTTGGAAAATCCTGGCACAACAGCGGGTAAAGGTGAACCAAAGTTCCAAGAGATGCCGCCAAGAACTTTTTTCAAACTGGGGCTACTGTGTTTATCTTTATAGAATTTCCCAAAATGTAATACCTCTTGCTCTCCAACTGAAGCTGCTTGCAGCTAACTCACAATTCTTATGTACTGAAATAGAGCTATATATTTTCCCTGTTTAAGCTTTGATTTTCACACACACACGCAGAGAATTAGTAAAAACAAAAACTGAATCTACTGTCAAGTGAGATTGAGTCACCCATCACAGCTACTGACCAGGTCCTGGAGAAAGTTGGTGAGGAGAGGAGAGACTAGATAGTATAAGCTTTTGTTTGGTGTGCCATTGTCTGTCCTGTTCTCCAAGTCTGCCTGTTCTGGTCTGAACGTTATATAATACTGAGTGACCTAGGCATTTACACCAAAAACAATGAAATTCAGTCAAGACCATTTATCTTATAGTGGTATAACAGGGGAGTTTATTAACAAACATGTCAGACGCTCTCCGTAATTAGGAGAGTGCCAGCTATATGTTTTTCTTTAACAGGGGTATTTATACACTGTGAAAAACACATAATTGGTCACCAGTGTTTATAGAGACATTACAAAAGCTTGACAGCCTAACTAATCTGAGCAGCTGCTAAATAAGTCATACCATACATAAACAACAAGCCAGGTACAGTATAACCTTTGACAGATGGTCATGGTCAGGGGCAGACTGACCATTTGGAAACTTGGGCACTGCCCGAGGGTCCGGGGTCAGTAGGGGGCCCCATGAGATGCCCCTGGTACCTTTTTCATAGGCTTTTTTTGAGTTTGGGCAAGGACACAGGGGCCCCATGATCCCCGGGGACCCCATGAGTTGTCAGTCCGCCCCTGGTCATGGCCATAAAAGATTCACTCATTCCTCTGTAGTTACTCCAAGAGACCTTGGAGAGTTCATGACACGGAAGCAGAAAATAATTAGCATTGTCACCTTGTGGACAGGGCAGTCTCAGATGGACATTTTAAATGAGCTTTAACTGCCTCCAGCCCTCTATATGGACAAGTAGGAGGGCGTCATATGATGTCCACCCACTCTGGCCGTGCATACCCGCCTGCAGGGGTGTGCAGCGCTGCGATCACTGGTGTGCTGTGTACCTAGGACACAGAGGATCACAGATCGCAGTAAAGAGCTGATGATGTAGGCTCTTTACCATGTGATCAGCTGTGTCCAATCACAGCTGACCACATGTAAACACGAAATGCCGGTTATCCGCAATCCTCTCCTCATGCTGACAGACCGTGAGTAGAGGAGAGACAATAAGTTGCAATCTTCAGAGGAGACATCTACACTGAAAATTAGTGCACTGATCATCAGTGCCCTGATTGTCAGTGCAGCCCCATCAGTGCTCATAAGTGCTGCCTTTCAGTGCCCATCAGTGCCGCCTATCAGTGCCCATCAGTGATGCCTATCAGTGCCCATCAGTGATGCATGTCAATGCCCATCAGTGCCACCTATCAGTGCCTCCTCATTAGTGCAGTCTATTAGTACCTATCAGTGCCACACATCAGTGCTCATCATTGCTGCCTATCAGTGCCCATTAGTGCCACCTATCAGTGCCCATCAGTGCCTCTTCATCAGTGCCGCCTATCAGTGCAGCTTCATCTGCACATGTCAGTGAAGGAAAAAAATTACTTATTTAAAAAAATTGTATAGCAGACGCTAAGAAAAACATTTTTTCCCCAAATGTTCCATCTTTTTTTTGTCTGTTTAGCAAAAAATAAAAAACACAGTGGTGATTAAATACCACCAAAAGAAAGCTCTATTTGTGTAAAAAAAAGACAAAATTTTATATGGGTACAGTGTTATATGATCATGCAATAGTCATTCAAAGTGGGACAGCACTGAAAGCTGTCCCAGCTGAATTAGCCTGGGCAGGAAGAGGGTGGACAGTACCTAGTAGGTTAATGGTTACGTAAGAGCTGAACAAATTAAAGCCCAAAGAAGGTTTAAAACCATATGGAAAAAGGTGACCATTGTAAACACCCCTGGTAGAGTTATAAAAGTTTGTCTTAACCTCTGTAACTGTCAGCTCAGTCTGCATATAAATGTGGAGAAAAATGTTTTTAAAAAAGGCACACAAAATTAAAAAATGGGTCGGTATTTAATATTATACTATACATTATACATTACATTTGAAATACCTATTTAAACCGTTAAGGACCTAGTTTGTACATAATATATCCCAGTGTTCTTCCCAGCTAGAAACATGCCTACACCTGTAGCTGCTGGGACCTGCCATAAGTTTTACAAGAGAGATTCTATTGTCAAATATAGCATCTGTGAGCAGCAATATAAGCACTGATTGGCTGTTTCAGCTTTCATGCTTGTTTCAGTTGTTTCAGCTTTCATCCTTGTTGAGATGTAAACAAAAGTTACCTTTTAAATTAACTTTAAGGCATGAAATAATGTGAGCATTTTGTACCTATAGTAAAACTTGTTTTAAAATGATCACTTGTTAAACAGGAACTAAAAGTGTATTTTGTCTATTTTTACTTCTTACTTTTGCCTATAATAAAAGTTATAGAAATTAAATAACTCTTGTGAAACAATATCTCTAAAATAAAGCCTTGTTTGTCTCCAAAAGGCAATATACTGTATATCTAATCTATGCATTTATATTATTGACAGGGCAGTCATTTATTATGTTTGCTCAGGACATATTGTTTCCTTGGTCTGGCACTGGGAAACATCATGCAGATCTGTTAGTGCACATATTGACTAGGACACCTCATCACATCATTGATTTGGAAAATGTATTTATAAAATGGAGCACTGTATTCTAGTAATTAATTGATTAGGGTGTTGCATTTATTCATTGGCTTAATCAGTGGTGATATGCATAATATATATATTCTGAAAGCAAAGTAAAGGTTTTCTGACATATCTGTTGGGGTGTACTCATTTATGCTGATTACTTTCAGAATCAACATTTTCTATGGGGCACTATACTACAAATATTCACACAAATGCGGACCATTGATTGAAAACAAGATTTGTTAATTTGCACAGACAAAAAAGTATCTTTTCTAACAAATTAATTCAAGACCATGTTGCAAAAATGAATGCACTCCAATAAAAGTCTTATGAGCAAAGCTAAATTTTAAACAACAAAATCCTAATTAACAAGAATTCAACTACAGGTGAGTCTAATTATTCATTAAACAGGTGTTCAAAAGACAGTTGATTATAGAAGAGTAATATTTAACAAAGAAATCCCCTTCCCATTTCATGCTGTCAGCAATGGTACCACATGGAAGAGAAATGTCACAAGGCCTGAAAAAGGTGAAAGCTACAAGAAGATCAGCAAAGCTTTACTTATCAGTCAGAATTCTGTAGTAAACGTGAAACAAAAATTTAAAAAATATGGAACTGCAACCATCTCAGAGATGTCCAGCCCATCCACAGAAGTTAACACCTCGACAGGAGCGTCTTCTGATGAGAAGGATTGAAAAGAATCGCCATGCAAGTTCACTGCAGCTAGCTAAAGAAGTAGAAACCCAAACTGGGGTGATTATTTCCCAGGACACAATATGGCGTACACTGCAGAGGAATGGCATGCAGATGTCGTCCACAAAGAAAGCATCTCCTAAAACCCACCTCGAATTTGCCAGGGCCCATGCTGAAAAAAGAAGACTCTGTACTCTGGAGTGATGAGACCAAGATAAATGTTTTTGGAACTGATGGCTTCAAAACAGTTTGGTGTTTTAAAGGTAAGGAGTACAAAAAAAATGCATGGTGCCTACAGTGAAACATGGTGGTGGCAGTGTTCTTCTGTGGGGCTGCATGAGTGCTGCTGGTGTTGGGGAGCTGCATTTCATTGCTGGTATCATGAATTCACAGGTATACTGCTCTATATTGAAAGAGAAAATGCTACCATCACTCCGTGCCCTTGATCATCATGCACTTTTCCAGCATGACAATGATCCAAAACACACATCTAAGGCCACAGTTGCATTTCTGAAGAACAGGGTGAAAGTGATTCAGTGGCCATGTCTCCTGATCTGAACCCAACTGAATACCTATGGGGAATTCTGAGGAGACAAGTTGAGCATCACTCCGCATCCAGCATGCAGGCTTTAAACAAGGTTGTTCCTGAAGAATGGAAAAAGATAGATGTCGCAATATGTCACCAACTTGTTCATTCCATGCCTAGAAGACTTGGTGCTGTTCTTACAAATCATAGAGTTCATACAAAATACTAGATGTAATAGTTTTTGTTGTGAGGTGTATTCATTTTTGCATCAACTAATTTTAGTAAAATTTAAGATTTTGTAAGTTATATTATTAACCTTACTTTCATGTAAAGAACAATTTGGAAATTGTTCTTGTGTTCACTGAGATTACACATAGTTACATAGTTAATCTGGCTGAAAAAAGACAAAAGTTCAACCATAAAAAAAGAAGTTATAATCCTATACCCACAGTTGATCCAGAAGAAGGAAACCCCCCCCCCCCCCCAGCAAAACACAGTCCAATTTGCCCCTGCAGGGGAAAAAATTCCTTCCTGATCCCCCGAGAGGCAATCAGATATTCCCTGGATCAACTTTACCTATAAATGTTAGTATCCAGTTATGTGTATCCAAGAATAATCCAGGCCTTTTTCAAAGCAATCCACTGAGCTGGCCAGAACCAACTCTTGAGGAGTCTGTTCCACATTTTCATAGCTCTTACTGTGAAGAATCCTATTTGGAGATTAAATCTCTTTTCCTCCAGACGTAAAGAGTGCCCCCTTTGTCCTCTGTGATAACCTCATGGTAAATAACTCTACACCAAGTTCACTATATGAACCACTGATGTATTTTTATACATGTTGATCATATCCCCCCTAATCTCCTCTTCTCAAGAGAGAATACATTCTGTTCCTCTAATCTTTTCTCATAGCTGAGCTCCTCCATGCCTCGTATCAGTTTGGTTGCCCTTCTCTGTACTTTCTCTAGTTCCCCAATGTTCTTTTTGTGAATTGGTGCCCAAAAGTGAACTGCATATTCCAGATGAGGTCTTACTAATGATTTGTACTGGGGTAATATGATATATTTCTCTCTGGAGTCTATACCTCTTTTAATACAAGAGAGGATTTTGCTCGCTTTAGAAACCACAGCTTGGCATTGCATGTCATTATTAAGCTTGTGGTCTACCAGAACTCCCAAATCCTTCTCCACCATTGATTCCCCCAGTTCTACTCCCCCTAGTATGTATGATGCATGCATATTCTTAGCCCCCAAGTGCATAACCTTACATTTATCAACATTAAACCTCATTTGCCACATAGTTGCCCAATTAAACAGTGCATTGAGGTCGGCTTGTAAGTTGGAGACATCCTGTAAGGACATTATATATGAGACAAGATATTGAAACAAATTCTTACTTCTCAAAAGGGGTGTACTCATTTATGCACTGTATATATATATATATATATATATATATATATATATATATATATATATATAAATATATATCCGTGTGTGTGTGTGTAGGGGAGTATTTACCATAAAGTAAACAAGGCATTTGCCTAGGGCGGCTTTTTTCAGTGGGGCAGCACCACCCCCTGGAAGAAGGGACACATGTGGCACGGGGACCAGGTGGGATCTGAGAGAGGCTGCAGGCTGCTTGATGGTGTATGCAGAGCCCGACTCTTGTTCCCAGGGATATCCAAAGCTGTGAAGGTGAGTGTCTTACTCTCTCCGAGAATGGGGGGTATATGTTAGTGGAAGGCTCTCTCGGGTGGGGGGAGCGCAGTGGTGTTGGTGGTCATTGTCCAGCAGTCTCCACGGGGGAGAAGGGGGGGGGGGGTGTTGGTCAGTGTCAGGCTCTGATTTGTGTTTGTTGCCTAGGGTGGCACAAAACTATAATACATCACTGTGTGTGTGTAAAAACCCCTAATGCCTTTAATATATTGATCAGTAACTATTGAATGGTGATTAATGTATATTGTGTGAGGCTGTGCATTCATACAGCACTATTCAACTATGCTTTCCAGAATATGTAGAAGTTATTTTTGTTATCGGAGCCATGTTTTGGATTATAGGGGTGTAGTTATCCCTTACAGAGCAAGCAAGTGGAGAGGGCAGCACTTTGAGTTGGCAGGCATGCAAGTAAAAATATTACATTTTCTGGAGTTGGGCACAAGATTCAACTGCTGAAACCTAAATGCTTTATTTTTTATGATAAGCTGCCTAAGTTGTTTGAACATTGGAAATGGTTCTTAAATTACTTTAATTGCAATTAGGACAGCTGATGAAATTATCCCACCTTTAAAACTAGACACTCCAGGGTATTCAAAAATTGTGTACAATAAAACTGTAAAATTTTGCACATATCTGTTTCTTTCAAATGTTATTGGAAAATAGAACAAATAAAAAAAAATATTTTTTTACTAAGGTTTACAGAACAATAGCATAGCAGGCCGATGAGGAAAAACACAACCATGCTCTTATATGTTTAGTGAGGTAATTGTTCTTAACATAAGGATTAGAGATGAGCGAATTATTCAAAAATTCGATTCGGCTGATTCGCCGAATTTGCGGAATAAATTTGATTCGATGCAAATTTTATTCGCTGAGAATTTAACTTATTAAAAGGGTTTCTAGGCTTCAGAGAGCCTTTATATTAGTGCAGAACACTGTACCTTTAATTTAAATGCCCTTGGAGTCTGCTGGGGAAGAGAAATAATACTGTCAGTCAGTATGACATGCAGATGAGTGCCGTCGATCTTAGAATCACCGCACACTTCACTCATTTGGGCAGTCACGGGGCCAAAACCAGAGTGTGGAGCCACAGTGTGGCGGTGGAGGCAGCATCAATGGGAGGCCATACAGCACCCTATGACAAAATGGAACCCACCAGCAGTGTGAGGAGACCTGAAAGTGGCACATGGCAGAGTGTGGCGATGGAGACAGCAGCAATGGGAGGCCGTACAGGGACCCATGACACACTCTGGACCTGGCAGCAGCATGAGGAGGCGGTACAGGGGCCCATGGCAGAGTGGCGAAGCGTAAGCAGCTTAAATTGAAGGCCATACAGAGGCCTATGTTAAAAAGTCCCCCCAGCAGCAGTGTGGGGAGACGACTATCAAGAGTCCAATGGCAGAGTGGCGGAGCAGAAGCAGCTTCAATTGAAGGCCATACACAGGCCTAAGTTAAAAAGTCCCCCAGCAGCAGCGTGGGGAGACGACTATCAAGAGTCCAATGGCAGAGTGGCGGAGCGGAAGCAGCTTCAATTGAAGGCCAATAGTGGTTGTGAAGCAGAAAGTCAGTTTATTGTACACAATCGGTCAATTGCAGCTTGCCGTTGGCTGGAAACTGTACGTTTATGTCACTGGAATGCACTAATCACCCAAAAAATATTACCGCCAGCCGGCGTGTAAATGGATTTAACTCTTTGAACGTACAATAGTGGTTGTGAAGCAGAAAGTCAGTTTATTTTGCACAATCGGCAA